GTTCAGCTGTCTTTTTTATACATTTTTTAGGGGGCAGCTTTCCTGGTAGCCAGGAGACAAAGCAATAAACAGTATTCATTGGTTAACTTGAGTGACCTTAAAGCCCATTGGAGGGCGCCCCGCCTGTTCGTAGGTGATTTCCCTTTTGATTTCCTATCTAATAAACATTGGGCCACCTGTAGGTTAGCTTTGTTTTTAAGATTTCTGAATACTTCTGCAGTTTGCAGTTCAGCGGTCACAGGCTTGTGCTAGCGTTAGCAAGAAAACCACAGACTGTCAGCTCTGAGCTTTTCCTGTGACAGACTGCCAGCTCTGAGCTCTTCCTGTGCAGAGGAGAGGTTGGCCGGCTCTCGGCGACCCCTCCTCATGTAACCACATACCTAGCTTTTCTTACCCAGGTGTGAGGTGACCCCTCACCCAGCGGCCCTATGAAAACATGTTTTTCGTGGAAAGTTCCAAGCTCTTCAGCGACCTGGACCTGTTAACTTTAGCTCCTGCAGCTCAGCTGTGCTCTGGGGTGCAAAACATCCTGTGCATCTAGCAGGTCCTAAGAACGGGGGGGGGGGAGTAGAGTATACCCCTAGGCATAACAGCTTTTAAGATGGCTTTACTGTAGCTAAGTTAGAGCAAGCTAGGTGTACAGAAGCAGATTGCACGAGTTAGTATTCTTCATATTGTGTACTTGTAATATAAAAGAGACAACTTCTCTGAACTGCTGGTCAGCAGAGCACAGAGGGTCAGTAGAACATCGAGGGTCAGTGGGGCAGAGCCTCAGCTTGTCTTGGAGAAATAAAGCATGTCTGTGAGGCTCACATCTGAATAATAAGGTATGCCTACCTTGCATAAAACTGCCAGAATCTTCTTTCATTTACATAACTCATGATCTTAACCAGAGGGGGCAGAAGGATCTGAGAATCCTGCTCCATAGCTTGCAAGTTTGATATTTACTGATGGAATCAAACAGAAATGCAATGTATTGGAGAAAAGTTGTTCCAATCTTCTAGAGCTCCATTCAATACTAAATCTAAGGTGCCAAGTAGATTAGGAGAACACAAGTTCTACATCCCTTGCCAACATAAGCTACTCACTAATTTACTGTTAACATTCTAGCAAGTGACTTTATTAAACAATGGAATGTAAGCTATTCTTCCTCAGATTAAAAAAAAAGCAAGAAAGAAATAAAGAGAGAAAATAATAGAGAATAGAAGACAAAGGAACCTTAGGAGAAGAATATTAGGATAGAGAAAGTAAAGATATATGTTACTTTACTTTTATCACAACAAATTCAACCAACAATTTAACAATAACTTTAAACCACTGGTAGATGGATTACTTCTTTTTTCTCCAAAGAAAATTGCAGATTATAAATAAGCCCACCATTACTGCAAAAAATTACTCTTCATGGTTTTACAGTGTTCAGTCAGGGATTTATCTCTGTTTCCAGCTTGTTATAGTCTCTGATTCACTCATATGCTTAAAGGATCTCATTAATATTAGTCTGTCTCATCCTTCTGATTTAAATCCCATCCCTTCTCTTGATGGGCTACTATTTTGTTAGCAAGAATTCTTGGAGTATCTCACACTGATAACCACCACTCTTTTGGGATGTGAGGTACACAGATACATCTATGGAAATCATACTCTGATTTTAACGTTGCCTTTAATTGATGTTTCTTGAATGGGGATACATACTAGTTTTAATTTTAGAATTTTTATGCAGAATGACTAATTGTGAATTTCCAAGTCAATCAATAATATACTCAAAAACATTGCTTTTCAAAAGAACAAAAGAGAAAAACTTAGATGAGAATCCTTTTCTTTTTAGGATTCTAAACAGAGTTGGTGGTGATGTACACCTCAGAGTAGAAAGGATTTTTTTTTAGGGTCATCACATTTCAGTGTTTGAAGTTATGTCTGATGCCATCCAGTCCAATGCCTTTATTTATTTTTTTCTTTTTGGCACCTATCCAGGGATTGAACTTTGGACATTGGTGTTATCAGCACTATGCTCTAACCAACTGAGCTAAGAGGTTGTATGAGAACATCATCCCACAGCTTCTGAGCCAACGTGTTTGTATCTTCTAGATGTCTTCATTGATGTGCCTTAAATTCTGTCTTGTTTACCAACTCCATAGATTATTTTGATTTCCAAGACCATTATACCACATTTTAAGAATTCCTGAACATGTAGCAATTACCAGAATTTTAAGTTTAAGGGAGTGATCTACAGTTATAGATATAGAGGGTATTTAATAAAACAAAGTCAAATTGAATAAGGTATATTTCATAAGAATTATTTGAAATGTTATGTTGAGGAATTGTGGGCCAAAATAATGAATTATAAGTGACCAATAATCCTCTTCCTTTAGTTACATTATTTGCAGACAATTGAGTCATAAACACAATGGATTAATCTATAAAAATATGTAATAATCATTTATTAAACTTGGGCTACCAAGTATAAATTTTTAATGAATGAATGCATATTTAGAGCTTACTTAGTGAGCCAAATGAGATTGTTTTAATTTCTGGGTGGGAACTCTCTACAGCATCCTGTGGTAACTCAGGCAATCACATGGCGAGTATGGTAAGAGGTCTTTCATGTGTTGTCTTTATAAAGCCACCACTCTGGATTTGTGATAACCCACGAAACCATTAATCCATTTATCCATGAATGGATTAACCCATTCATGAGGACAGAGTCCTCATGATTCAATTACCTCTCAAAGGGCCCACCTTTCAAGTTCCATAATTGGATTTCCCACACTCATAACACTGTTCCAATGGGGATCAAGTTTCCAACACATGAACCTTTGGGAGATACATCTAATCCACAGCACCACCTTAAACTCTATAAGGCAAACATTGAAAGAATTGTAAGTAGAATTAAAACATATACCATTATGGTGGAGATTTTCTCACCAATCTTTCAGAGAGTGATCTATCAAATAAATTGAGAGTATCAACTGTGACGTATGGATGATTTGAGAAGCAAAACTAATAATCTTTATCTAATGAGGATATATAGTATTTTGTTTCCAAGAATTAGACACTATACAATCTTAGGAAGATTAATTAAAATTTTTTTAATTGATTATGCATATTCTTAGGGTACAAAGCTGACCATCACCACTTGTGCCGAAGATGTGATGGCCAGATCAATCCTATAAGCATGTCATTACCACAAATTGCAATTATTCTCCTGTCCCAACCCAATTAATCTCCAACCTGTTCTTTTCTTCCCCACTCCACAACCCTAGGTATACTCTTTCCAACATAAGTTGCAAGTCCAACATAGGTTGCAAATTTAACTAACCTTTATTGGGGCATGAAAGAAATTCAAATATATCTACAAAAAATTTGTTTCGGCCTTCTATAATTTAAAAATTAAAATGCATAAAATAGAGATACATTCAAAAATTAGACTATTAATGAAGAAAATAAGAAATCAGAAACTATTAAAGTTTACTTACTTCACACACACACATGAACACACACAAACATATTCTACACAGCCTAAGTTGGAATGTGTCAAGTGGTTTGAAAGAAAACAAATCACCAATCATTTTTTTCATGCAGATTACCAACTAGTTTGGTATTAACACACCTGAGCAATGCACTATAAGGAAAAGTGGGATGAG